AGAGAGGTTGTGGAGTCTCATTCTCTGGAGACACTAAAAACCCACCTGGACACCATCCTGTGCAACCTGCTCTAAGTGATCCTGCTTTAGCAGGGGGGTTGGACTAGATGGTCTCTAGAGGTCCCTTCCAACCCCTACTAACCTGTGAATCTGTGAATTCATCCTGGTGTCTGGGCTGATTTGGGTTATAATGGATCTCTGCTAGTAATCTGTCACAGCTTGCTTTTTGCTGCATTCATATTTCACATTCAAATCTTGTGGTTATTGGATTTATTGACAATTCCAAACAAACTGACACTATATCTTTAACATCATCTTCTTCTGTCCTTTGCCTGTCCCCCATCACAATCTTTCTTCCTGATTGGAGATTAATGTTTAAAACATTCTATTATATATTTAAATGTTCATTAACACAGATTTTTATGAATGAAGATCTGTAGTCTCAGAGCCATTGCAATATGCAATTTGTTTGTGATTTTAAGTGTTTTATGTTAAATCTGAATTGATGGTAGACCAACACTTTCCAGTAAATCTGCTTAATCTGAATAGTTAAATCAGTATTTTATCATGTTAGCCAATTCAGTTGGACTGGACTACTTCAATTAGAGATTTTTCTTTCCCTTGTGCTCTATGAGTGCTGTATTCTTGAATTTTATTCTCCTGTATGGGGAGAATTGTATTCAGATCTAAAAGGATCTATGAGCAAGAGCAGCTCCTTTTTATTGCTGTGCCTGCTCATCATTTTGAGAGTCTGGGATTCATTGGAATGAAACTTGGAATGTAATTTCAATATTACATTCAACTGAAAGCAATTGCCTATCATGTATTGGCCCTTCCTTTTGGTCAGCTTGTTTGGACATCTTCAGACAAATGCAAAGAGCCTCTGCAAGGACGATATACACAACTAAACCCTGTAAAGCAGTTACTCACAGACTAGCAACGCAGAAGATAGCTAGGAGTTAACAAGCGTTGGGCTAAGCACTTGTGTAGTCACCACCCCAATGGATGAGGCATCCAAAGAGCTGCAGCTGCCCAAGCTGGTGTCAGGAATAAATATTATTTTGGTAAAATGGATCCCTTGAGACAAAAGAATCCTGTATGTTTGGGGGATTTATATGGCATAAAGGAGGAGAGGAATGGTCATCTCAGAAAAACTCATGTTAAAATTTGATGTGGTAAATGATAAACTGCTGCAAATTAATAGACTATTATATTAATAGACCTTTTTATTTGACTTGTGTAAAGGCTTTACAGACATGATCAGTCTCTGCATTCTATAAATCATAATGACTATACAAGAAAAATGATACAATATTATTTTCTTAGTGAAATCTAAATGCTAAAATGAGTGTAAGTATTCGTATCTCCACAAATAATTTTCCAACACCAACATCCAGTTGTGTATTTTGCTCTTCAGTGGTTGAGCTATTCTCAAATCTAATCTATACATTAGTAATTAAAAATAAATCAGGCAGATAAAAATGCTCTGACAGAAGCTTAGCTATAGTAAGTTAATGTAGAATATTGCATACCATCTACCTGGAAGGAGCATATGGGAAAGTATATATGCTTGTTTTCTACCTCTTGTATTTTGGTTTGTGATATAGTTCTTGTTTCCCAGTCTAACACAGAAGCTGAATTGATGCTGCCATCAAGCTTCTGTTGTTGCTAGGTATCAGTTTGTAATATTTGATACATGTTAAATGTATATATGTAAATTTATAATTGCTGAATGTCACATGCAGAAGTGGGTTTAAATACTGTCATAATAAGACTGTGTCATTGTTAATATGCATTTAAAGTTGTATAGATAATAAGATAATAAAAAAAGAATAATACACAGTCTGGGGTACAAAAATTATTCTGAACATTTAGATCACTGTGAATGACAGCTCCAAGGCTTTGGAGCTTCCAGTGTTTTCTAATTTAAATTAGTAAAGTATTTGGCCATCAGTAAAACATTAAGGAATTCCACTTATAGCAAACTACAAGGTTTGTCTCTGCTTTGGGCTTCTACTAGTGCTGCCTCCCAGTTTACAATGTCAAGTTGCACTGTTGCCTCATGAGAAGTTCACAAATCAGAAAAGCAAAATTGCTGGTTTGCTTCTATGCATCCTACAGCTCAATGCTTTGCCAGATACTCCTACTGCTTGTTCCCTTCTTCCCAGCCCATGCTCCCAAATTATCTCAGTCCCCTTGTTTCCACTCCTTTGCCCTACATAGCAGATATGATAAGACAAAAGTCAGAGATATGTATAATTTACTTCTGTTAATCCCAGTAACCTGATCAGCGAAGGACTGATCTTCTCAGCTGCAGAAACATTATTCAAGGTTGAAAAGTGAAATTCTGGGTGGAGACATTTACTTCTATTTTCTATTTTCCATTTCTGTATTATTGTCTGCATTTGTTGTCACTTTTCCCTTCTTCCTGGCCAGATTTCCCCGAGTTTACTATTCAACATATTATACTTTTTATTACCTTTGTACAAATAATTATAACAAATTCTATTTAATCTTTTTTTTTTTTTTTTAAATTCCTTTTGTTAAATATTGATTATAGCTTCTAGGCTCTATCTTTGGCCCATGTTCTAGGGTTTCTTTGACCTTTCCCTCACTTGTCATTACCTGTCCTTCTTTCCTTAGCATTTCAGAGTGTGTTCCTCTTCACTTGCCCTGTTTTATATTTTTTCTCATTCCTCTTTTTTTTCTGTCCTTCCATTTCACTGTATTTTCCACCCTTATTGTTAATCATCTTTGATAGCTGTGTCCTTGCTACTGTATTCTTCTACCTGTCCATCTTCCCTCTCATTCAGGCTTCTTGTCTTGATTTGGGAATTGAAATCTACGTGTCCGTGCAGAGAGAGCCCACCATGGTAGCCTGCCCATTCTTCTTCAAAGTCCTGCCTTGGGGTCATACAAGCTCTGGAGAACGCTCTGGTATCTTCCTCCTTCCTGCTCCTCCTTCAGCATTTCACTACAGTATCAGGAGTGAAAGCGCCAAAACTTTTAAGCTGCTGAGCTGGGATAACTGTGTCTGGAGAAGAGATGCAGAAGAGAAACAGGATGCTGTTAGGGTGATGAGAGGAAATCTTTGCAGGTTGCCAGTTGAGTTTGCGTACAACCGATTTTTGCAGCTGCATGAGACCCTGGGGAAAATACCTTAATTCTTTACTGTATGAGTTAATCTATAGTAATTGCAGAGTATGTTGAGTCCAGGCTTTGCAGATCAGCTGCTCCATGCACTGCAGCAGATAACCAGCAGTAATGGGCTGCTGGAGGAGATCGCAGCTTTTAGCTGCCTTGCCTGTTCTGCCGTGTGCTGCACTGCTCTCAGCCCTGTGCTGGGATCTGCATCTGCAGGTGACAGTATGGGATATGCAGGCGAAACTTTAGCACCGGGCTGCAGGATTAAAGGTATGGGAGCGAAGGGGTTGTGTCTGTCCTCAGTTCACTGTGGATTAGGGGACATCCCACGCTGAGCTTTTTGGATGAGGGGAGCCACGCCTCTGCTTTTCTGCACATCACTAGGGCACCTTGTTTAACACAAGAATGAGAGAACTGAAGAACGAGAGCCTGCCTGGAAGCTGTGCTGTCCACCTGTCTGTCTGTCTATCCCATAGCATGCACTTCACACTGCTGAGGTCTGAAGACCATCTCAGTTGTGACCGCAATCACTGCTTTCTGCTTGTTTTGCTCATAACAAACTTTGGTGTCATTACAGGCCATGGTGTCTGCTCATGCGGCCGATGCGTTTGCCAGGACGGGTGGTTTGGAAAGTTGTGCCAGCATTCAAGGAAGTGCAACATGACGGAGGAGGAGAGCAGAAGTCTCTGCGAGTCAGCGGATGGCATATTATGCTCAGGAAAGGGTAAGAACTGGCAGCTGAGCTACCCCATGTCAGTGCCCCGGCAGTAGAAAATGATCACGTTCTGGAAGACTAATGTGCATGGCAGTGGGTTGTTGTTTAGTAACCCTTTCTTTCAAAGGCACCTATTATTAAAAGGATGTTATATTTGGCTCTGTAATGCACTTACATCCTTTTTGTCAAACACCCACTACAGCCGCACATGCTTAGTGGCATTGCAGTCCTATGCAGTTTGTTAATAGCATATAATTTCCTGTATGTGTTTATCTAATGGTCTGCGTTGAACAGCTGTACATTATAAACTAACTGTTAGTGCTCCATCCAGTTTGAGGGACACGGGCACTACCTGCAGTAACACTGCAGTGGGCAAGATGGCAAATGTAACATCTCAGGCAACAGTAAGTGGAGGAAATCACCCCCCTCACCAACATGGCAGCAAAGGAAAGGGAGGCATCTGCAGCCCCCACGACAGAATCCCACAAACTCTCTCATTTACTAATTTTTATTCAGGTGGTTGCATCAGCTTCAGTCCAGCTATAAAAAATTGCCACAGGGAGGACTGAAATTTAGAAAATCTTGATAATTATCTGCAATTGTTCTCTGCAAAAGAAACTGCATTACTGGAAAGAGGGCTTTTTAGCTTCCCCATAGTGCAAAGTGCCTTTTTTTGTATAGAATATGTCTAAAAAGGAATAGACAAAAAACGGGTGGTGGGACTGGCTGGAGGCTAGAATGCGCCCACTCTGGAGTGGATGTGCCATTTACTCTGTTCGTAAATCCCTTGTATGGACAGGGAAGAAACCTTCTAGCTGGAAAAAAACAGTTAGAAGCCTTCTACATCAGGCAGATTTTCAGTTGTCCCTTTGGTAATTTTTATTTCAGTGCAAAGGAAATTTAAATGGGGTTTCCAGCCTGGCCTTCTTCCATCTGTATTGTTACTTGTCAGAATTCTCCCACACTGCATCATTTTATTTTGGTTTTACCCCCGCCCCCCCCAGTCATCGCAATGTCATAGAAAATGAGGAAGTTGCAGTGTTTCTCTGTTATTTCCAGAAGATGTGGCTATCTTTAAATTAGTGTATGTGCAAGAGGATACTGAGTTACGGAAGAAATGGAGTTACTGTCTTTTACTGCAGAAGTTAACTTGTCTTCTCATAGTCTTGGTCTTCCTGTGATTTTTTTATATAAACCATGAAGGTGAACGATTATGCTTAAAATAAATAAAATGCACTATAAAAGTTTCTAAATAAATATGAAGATGAAAAATTATGTTGAATTTTAAAATATTTGTATTATATCTGCTACGTTTTTGCAAGGATGGCTGAGAGCTATTTATTCCAACCTGTGGGTCTTACTCTGAGAACAACTAGCTTTGGGACCATATATCAAGGCTACAATTTACTTTGAGGCTTTGGGAGCAGATAATCTGGCAGGAATTCGCAGACACATCAAGGATTTTTTCTCCTCTGTTGGCTATGCTGCATAGAGGGTGGTTTGGGATCTGGTCAGTGATGTAGGCTGGAGCAGCCTGAAAGTTGCTCCAGGTTGTAACCAGCTGCATGCAGGTCGTGCTTTTAAACAAGGCTGCATGAATGGAGGCTCCAAAGGCCCAGATTTTCTAATGTAGTAGCGCACTGTTGAACAGCATTTACTGTCTATGGGAACCTGACCTTAAATCCATATCCAGCAACACTGGTGGGATTTTTTTGTTTTTGTTTTTGTTTTTTTTTTTTTAAGTTTCTTTGGCCTCCAAGCACAGGTAAGCTTCCAATGTGTTCGAATGTTGCCCTGAGAGCAGTCTATATAATAAAGCTATGTCAAATTAGATGCTGTGGCAGCTTTATTGTGGGAACAGCTGGTCATATGTAAATGTTTGTCCCAGCAGAGAAATAACTACGAAAGATAACTTCCAGAAGTGTGTGGCCAGTGAACATCCAAGGAAGCTACTACCTCCTGCCTCTTCTCTGAGCAGGATGGGGATCACAGGAACAGACAGTCTAGTTATTTGTAACTTTTATTTCTATGCTTAGATTTTTCTTTGCACCCCCCCCGCTTTTTTTTTTTTTTTAAGGCAAATCTATTCTTAATGCTTAAATATGTATCTGGAAATCGTGTCTTACTAGATACCCACACATTAAAATGTTCATTGCTAGTGTGACCTGCCCTATCCAGAGGCCAAAATGACCAATTGTTCTTTTTTTTCCATGACATTGAGCAATAAGTAACCATTACTGGTCAAATAAAAGGGAATTTTGAACCCGTGCACTGATGGTGGTTATTCTGTCTTTGCTGGAAACCTAGCCAAGATATGCAAGCGCTATAATGGATTGAGAGAGCTTGAGTTTCTGTATGGAGGATTTAATAGACTCTAAGGACTCCTGGTTTTCAGCAGGTAACTGCTGAACACTTTCAGAAAATTACACTCTGTTAATATAAGCAAAAAGTTGGACATCCACATTCCTAGGCTGTTTTCAAAATCTTGGCTCCCTGACTGTGCCACCTGTAGTAAAAGCTCTTCCCAAGGAAAACAGCAACACCCACCATGCTGCTGCCTCCCTGGCAGTAAATGTAGTGCTGCAGATGGCTACTGTAATGGTGCAGGACCCGGGCTAGGTAATGAGCCAAATCCCATCTGAAAGGATCTGGCCAGGATCCCAGGGAACACCCTGCAACTCATTAGATTCATTTTAATTAAACTGACGAGCCTCCCAGAGCAACACGCTCTGTTTAGGGAAAAGACTTGATACATTCATTCTCCCTAACAGATTTTACATTATGGAGCCTGATCTTCCTTGCTTGACTTAGTGTTAAATTTGCTGTAGCTTCTGCAAAATAGTTTTAAACTTTGTGGGCATACGTCAGTAGCAGCATCAGTGCTTGCTTATGCAGAATCACTTTAGGTTTCTTACAATGTCATGCTCTTATTAACTGTTTTAATTTCACTAGAATTCTCATACTATTCATCATTATTTTCAGCTGTCAGTACCTTGTAGTTTGTATAAACAGAGACATTCAGTTTAAATTATCCTCAAGTATGTCTTAGAGCAGCTCTTGTACAGCAACCATGCAATATGGATGCTTAACCAAATTCTCCCATCCCCAAATGTTCCAATCACTAGCTCTTCGTGTATGTATTTACATGTTCCATATGTTACAAGTTGAAACAGCATTTCTCTAAAATTAGGCAATTAGTTAGTTTTTGTCAACTTACAATAAACACTAAATTACTCACATTTTAATTAAAAAAGTAGATACTCTGCTGAGGCTGTTCTGAGGTTTTAAAGGATGAAGTTTCAGTGATCAGAGACACTTCAGTATTAATGGAAAAAACCTGGGCAAAATTGGTTGATATCAACAAATCCACTTTTTTTTTTTCAAATATGAATTTGGATTTTTACTATGGATTTTATTCAGAGGTCACTGAAAGGAATGGAAAGATGGAAAGCATCACTTTATACGCTTTGCCTCAGGCCCTGCTAAGTAATCTATGAATTCTATTTAGGTTATATTCTGACATAACCAAGCTTCCTTCTGTATATTTTTCTTTAATATTGCATTAAACACATTGGTGACTTTGTACTGTAATCATTCTGGAAATACTGCAAGAGGGTGGGATTTTCAACAGCATCTAACTCATTTATAAGCATGTTCTGTTAAAAGTCGACAGTTTCTTTGGTGACTTATTTTTTTTCTTAAACTCCGCCTCCCATAATTGAAAACTATATGTGTATTCTTTGTTATCATTTTCTTGGTTTTTTGAGATTTTTGTATTCATTTGTGCTGTAACCAGTTCTTAGGGCTAGGTCCACAAAACAATTTTTACTCAGCAGTTACTAAGCGCCCTACCTTGGCATTTAAGTGTCTGAACTCTGTATAGGGTCAGGCAGCTGAAGATGGGCTCTGTAAAAGCCAGCTCTCTTCAGCCAGGTGTTGGAATCAGCCAGGAGGAAGTACCATCTCCTAGTGGCATTTCTAGTTGCACAAAAGCCTCTCTCATGCCCTTCTTAGGCTACAGGCTTCCTGACACATGATTGCCTGGTGGCAACTGTCTCTTTCCAGGATTCAGAGTCATGAACCTTCTCCTGAAAGTAGGGATGTCTCTGAGTCTTCCCTTAAAGGGAGATTTCTGCTCAGTGCGTTACGGCATCACCTGAATGTCACCATAAAGTCTGTCCTTTGACTGTGGGGGTGCACCCTGACATCCCTGAGGAGGAGGAGGAGAGCGGCTTATCCCAACAAGGGGCACTGGGGTACTCTGCAGGAAAGAGCAAACTGCTAAACCTCTGTTATGTGCACAAACTCTTTCTGACCTAGAGCAAATATTCAGTAATTCCATGGGAGGTGGAGTAGCTTCATCTGCGGTGATGAGGATTTTGGGGATCTAAATGTAAGTCTTGGGCACCTCTGGTCTTTTGTGGACTCATCCCTAAAGGGTTTAGACAAGGAGGACCATTTTCTTCCTGGGTGTGATTTTATTGCCTTCAGTAACAGTAGGTCAGAGACAATTTGAGCTTTTCTGGTAGAAAAAAACCAAAAACCAAAAACCGAACATTTACTGGGAAGAGTAGGCCTGATTGTAGGTCTCTGAAACCAAAGGAAAGCTTCAAAATGGGAGTCCTGATTAAATGAAATAGCAGAGTCAAAGCATTAGTAGTAACATCCCACCATAGTCTAGCTCACCCCAAAAGAATCCTTTTATTCAAAAAGCTTTTAGCTTGATTATTTTCTTCTATACAATAGCTTCTTAGGCAGCAATTTTGTGCATATGCACACGTGTGTATGTGTGCACGTGTGTGTCTGGGGATGTTATTTTCTAGTCTGAAAATGCCCTGTGCTCTTTGCGAGTAATAATTTTTGTGATTTCAGGTTCCTGCCACTGCGGAAAGTGCATCTGTTCACCACAGGAATGGTACATTTCGGGCGAATTCTGTGAATGCGATGACAGAGACTGTGACAAACATGACGGTCTCATTTGCACAGGTGCAGTACAGGCTAACACTTAATTCCTCTAAGAAACAAACTGTGTTGATGGGAATTGTGTTAGACAAAGCCCAGCTTCTTCGTTCTCCACTGACGGAGGAAATGCATTTGCTGGTTATTCAAACCTGCTATAATTGTTTCTTCGTGCAGCGTGATAATCAACTTAAGGTTTCAAAACAACAGTTGAAAGCCTGAGTATGAATTTAAACAAGTAAGCCAGCTATGAAATCCATCAACAATTTTCATTGTAATAAACTACAAATTACTGCTTTTTGGCAAAGGATGTACAGTGTCAGTATTGTGATCATGAGATTTCTTTAACCTTTGTTCTCTTACTGGACTTTCTATGTGTATAATGCATTTGAGTGATAGACAAGATTCACTTGTCTGATGCTCTTTGGTAGGTGAGAGGCATAGCTGTGTGGGGTAACAGAGCTTCCTGGCAATCAGACAGTTCTCAGTGGGAGGCTGAAAAATACCTGACAGTTTTTCTTATGACATGATGGCTAGTGATTAAAGCGGCTTCACCTTAACATTGTTTGAGAGTTCAGGTGGCAGATGCAGATAGAAATGGGCAGACTGCCAGCAAACCCTCATGACAAATCTAGTGACAAGAAGCAACATGGGAATTGCTAAATTAACTCACTGGCTGCTTCCTGTTACAAATCTTAATTTTAGAAAATCTCTGCTGAGCAATTATTAGATGTAGAGGAAATGTGCAAGCCAATTAGAGTGAGTGTGGGAGGGCTGACAGTAGTAAATTGTGTCTTCCAGCTAGCCCTATTAGCAAGGGTCCTTTTTTAGGGGCAAGTGGCCAGTATAGAGGCAACAGGAGCCTTATCTTCAGCTGCGGCAGCGATTCATGGATCTTCATAAAGTCAGTAGGAAGAGGAGCTCATATTGGAGACCTAGGCTGTAAAGGTCTCAAGCTGAGCATCCAGGAGTCATGAAAATTATTGAAATAAAATAAAACTATGGGTCTTAGTACTTAATGTTTCCCCACTGCAAAACAAGGCCAACACACTTTTCATCTAATAGAGAGTTTGAGATATTATTTATTTGTATAGCACTTTTGAGAATTTAGGTTTAAAGTTTCTCATGTTCAAAGTGATGTTTTTATTGCTATTCTGTTTCTAACCTTTTATGTCTTTGTCCTTCTGCATAATAGTTAAAAGGAATCTTGTCTTTCCTTGTGCCTGGAGGTACAGTGTGAACACTGAACCTCAACAGCTGGGTAGAAATAGTGGTGGCATAATTACAATATTTGCAATTCTGCTGATGGAATTATTGAGAGAATGCTATTAATGCTTTGCAAGTGTCAGTTTGGGGTGGCTTCTTAATGCATTGGTACTGTAATTGCTTCCTTCCAAAGAAAAAAAAAGGGGGGGTGGTGGGAACAATAAAGGAACAATGCAACTGCTTTAGCATGGCTTTTTACTTCCCATAAAACACATTTAAATGTAGTACATTTCAATTATCATAATTGCCTTTTATTCATTCTGTTCTAGGCAATGGTGTTTGTAGCTGTGGAAACTGTGAGTGCTGGGAAGGATGGAATGGAAATGCTTGTGAAATCTGGCTGGGGAGAGAATACCCTTAACAAAGGACATCAAAGACTGAGGGGTGGTTTTTTGTTTGTTTTTTTCTTTAGGCTGCTAGAACATTTAATTTCAGAAGTACTCAGTGTGTGGGTGCGCGTGTACGCACATGTACCTGGGTGTAAATACTTTAGAACACTCATTTGAAGGCCTGCTCCTTAAAGAAAGGCATGACAAAACTAAAAAAAAAAAAAATATTAAAAAATCACTTTGGAGCTCAGTTCAAGCTCTAAAAGGTGAAGTCATAAAATATTGGCCCTGCGGAACTTCTCCAGTTTATTGGTAAAATCGTTGGGACTAAGATTACACCCATAATGGCTATTTCTGAAGCAACCTTTGGAAAAGGTGTAAGAAAGCCTTTTTTTAACATTATTTACTTGGTTGTCACCTCTCCATATCGCTATGCAACAGTATTCCAGTAGAAGAGCAGCACTAGTTGAATGTTTGTCAAATAATTAATTCGATTAATTTGATGATGCTTGACAAATACATTGTCCAAATACATTGTCCAAATACATTTTTTCTTTCTAACAATCCTAATTATGCATCAGGTTGTAAATTGAGAGAAGCTGTAAAGAAGCTTATCAAAACATTAATAATTTTTTTTTTTGTCAAAGACTTGTATTTGTATAACTGAAGTCCAATTACCCAACAACCATAAACTGAAGACCCAAAATGTTTGAACAGTTCAAACTCTTAGTTTCTGTGGTTAATATGTCAGTAAGTTGGTTATCTAGTCTACATACTACGATACTTTCAAATACATAACCTATAGGAGTGTAAGGAATTAAACTAATAAAGATATAAATGTATGATTAGCTGTTCTGAATGTGTATCCTGCAACTCATATGTACTTTTATCATACTGTTCTATGTATGTACAGTTGCATAGTCCTCTTAAAAGTAAAGCAAATGAAAAATTGTTATACTAATAACTTTTAGGATGACAATTCAGTATGCTATTAGAAATCACTGTTTGGAACAGATTGCACTGTCACACATGGTATTCATTGAATTTAACTGCTTTTATAGAAGTGGAGAGCCTGAAGGTCAACTGACTTGAAAAATCAGCTTTTCTATGCAGTAGTCTGGTCTCAGCCAAAGATGTTCAGACAATGGCAACAAAGTAATTAAAGTTTTAATACAGTAAATACAAACAAAGCAGTGGTATGAACAAAAATTTTATTTTGATTTTCCAATGGTGAAATGCTGCTCAGTGTGAAATTCACATTGAGTTATGAATGATGCACAACTATTGGGACTTCCCTAACTTATTTACATGAGTCTTTTTTTTTTTCTTTTTTTTTTTTTTAATACATGTAGATTTGGCAGCCCTTGAATTCTTTAGAGCAAAAAAAAGATACATACATTTTAGTTTCAAAAGTGTTTACATTTTATGAAACCATGATTGAGCAAGAAATTGCTTAAATGGTTGGAAAATATTTCTTTTTAATACTGAACTGTAACATTGTGGTTTAGGTGCCAAGGTCCTGATTTTTGAAGAGGTACATGACTCAGAAATAAGGGAATTATATATCAACCAAAAAAGGTATTTCCAATATTAGTCTAGAAATGAGTTTTCTTTTAGAAAGGACAATTTTGAAATAGGAACATACAATGGTACAGAACATGTAATAGAATGCAAAAAAACTTAAATGAATTTATTTAATCACTTTTATTATTCCTCCTTCCCATGTAGCTTGCTCTTTCTCTTACCCAATTTTTTTTTTCAACTTGGATTCTTTCTAAAAACAAAGCTTTTGAAACCCATTTTCTCAGGGAGTATAATCACCAAACGTCCATGCATATCTTAAAATGGATTGATACGCTATAAAGAATCTTCAAAGTAAAATTCATCTTGAAATTATAGTTTATATTTTATACTTATAGCCCTTAAACTGTGTAGAGCTTAACAGGAATATTTTCTTAAATTTCAACATATATGCATTTTGTCAACCCTGGTTTTTGGAGAGCACAGATTGTTGGTTTTATTTATATTTATGAATACCGCTGACCTGAATCATCTTAGAATCAGTGGTTTTTTCATATATACATTCGTCTGCTGAATCAGTGTAAGCAATGAAAGATACAGAGTTTTCCTTGATTTCCTTCCATTTGTATTTAGTACTGTAACTAGAAAGTAATAGATGATCAAAACTCTTATCTAGGTTCAGTAGACGCTTTTGACTTGTTTCATAGCATGATAAGCAGATTTATATAATACTGTAGATCAGCTGTGGTATTTCAGGTATTCATATTCATAGACAAAAGAACAATTTTTAGAGGGTTGCAGTGTCATATTTGATGCATTTTACTTTGTAATTTTCTTTCATTTTAAATTTATATACTTAAAAAGTGTAAGATGATTCTGATTTCTAGTTACTTTTTTTTAAAAAAACCCAATCAACTCCAACATTTTGGCGACTGGATGGGTTACATAGCCATAGCATTTCAAAAAGTGTTATCCAAGTTGTTTGTTTGTTAAGGTACATATTGAAAAATATTAGAATATTCCAAGACAGCTACTGTCAATGTTTCATTAAAATGTAAATTATTAAACAAAATGGTGCTATCGCTATAAACCTTAAAGCATTAACTAAGACTACTAAAAATATAATGTATACATAAATTCCTTTCCAATTTTTATTCTGTTCCTTACACTGTTCCTTGAACATTCCCCCCACCCTTCATGCTGAGGTAACTGATGATGTAACTCCCAGCAGATCTCTTCTGTGGCTCATTTCCTCACTAGAAAAATGAGATCGGAAGGAATAAGATTATCATTCCACACACATGAAAATAATAGCTGTATCAATAAATTGTGATTGTACACCTCATTCCCCATGACGGGAATTCCAGATACGTAAACTGTAAGAGCAGGAAGAGGTGTAAAGGAGTGAAACATACTGCTTGATCCTTCGTACCTACTGACTGTAAAAACTTGCTTCCAGGCCTGTGGCAAAAGGCAGTTCTAGGTGGCAAAACCAAATTGAATAAATGGGGATTTCATACTGGCTCAATTGGTAAAACTTATAAACAAAAGATACTATAGCCTTGCTTTCTTCTTAGGAGAGAAAGAACACAATCCAGAAGTGTGCTGAATGCTTCTACAATAGACTTGCAAGATTATGCCTATTGGATATAACATATCTGTAATATCACCTGTAAACCAGCTGTGGATTGGTTTGCTTCTATAAATTATTAACCTACTTGTGATCCTTTTTACCCTGGCCATACTCTCTGTTAGAAACACATAGATGAACATTTAATCATGTACCTGCTTTGACATTTCTGATGCACTGCCCTTGCTTCTTTACGGAATGACATCTCACTTTGTAGCTAAATGATACAGCTAAATGAGACTGGGATGAAGAAAGCTAAGCTGAATATTTCTGTGACTAGATAATACAACAAAAATTTTATTACATCTTTAAAAATAAGTCACAGCATTTGCATTAGTCATCACAACCCTCCCCCCGTTCTTAGACATTTTAAAAAGCACTGCACAGAGTATGAGTTTATTTAAAGGAGCATTTAAAAGAAAGATAACCTCCTTACTTAGTCTAATTTTACTTGCATTCCCATTTGAATAGAGCTGAATAATTTCTTTTTTATACCAATAAACAGATGGATCAACAAGACACACTTTTAACGCATGGACCAAACTGCCTGCTTTCATACCTCATTGCTTACAGTGGTTTTAAACCAAGAGAAAAAGTTTCCCTATATATAT